TGAAATCGAGTTTGAAATTTTAGTATCATGACAACACTAGGACTTGGGGATAAAAATTGAATTGTGGGAGTTTGACACTTTAGCCTGTGTTCATGCTATTCCTGTCAGCTGTGTTTCTGTGTTTGTGATGCAGGTGCACAGTTGACATGCTCCTGGGTGTTGATACATTCTGACACCTCCATAATGAGACACAGCGGGCCTTTCTCCTGCTCCTATCCAATTTCATATTACTCTCCGAGGCCACATGATGCACAAGAAATCAATTCACCACTTTCCATTTAAATTATCACTTTAGCCAAGCATATAGCCCTTCAAGCCCCATCAAAATGCAATTCTGAACATAAGAGATTTACTATAAATACTTAAAGATCTTATATTACACAAAATGGATCCTTTTGAGCTCTAAGAAATTATGATAATGTTGTTATCTCCTCAAAAACAGACCCGGAGTTGTTTTTTGTTTCATTCACACATGTTTGAGTAATCCTGGTTTATTATTGGCAATTTTAGAGCTGAAATTATCCAAATAATTTTAGTGAAGGTGTATGGAGTTTAAAAACACAGTGAAGCACTTCCTGATTTACCTCATGACATCATAGGGTGGAACAGAGCCCTTTAAAACCAGTGGCCAGCAGTGTCAGAGCTGTAATAGACATAATAATTTCAGTATTCTAGGCATTTTTTGACGATTATAACTTTATAGTCCATCAGATCAGTGCTGTGTTCATGATTCATTTTAACCTTGATCCTTCTCTTGACCCCTCCGCTCATAAATGTGCTGGTGAAAGAAGTTAAAGGACAGTTGGATAGATATTATTCAATACGACTGCCTCTTAATCAGTCTTGCTTCTTGCTCTCAGAAATCTCTCCACATGTGGTCAGCTATGAAGCTTAATTGGTGGTTTTCGGAGTCTGGAACGTGATGATGTCATACTCCCAGATGGGGGCAAGAGCCAGTTTTCCCTTTTGATAACATTGTACTTTGACATGAAATATCCAAAAGGTAATAATTTAGGAACCTAATAATTTCTCTTGACTACCAAGAACTCACTGTATTGCAAGAAAAATCTATTGCAATCTGACTAGAGCAATCCGAGGGACACCAGAAAACGAATATACTTTAGTGTTGACTGGTCTGCTTTTTTCTGATAAAAATGCGAAAAGAGAATGATACTTACAGTGACTTTATATGAGTGCAAGTGCAAGCAGAGCTGGAGTGCTCTCTTCCAAATTGGGTGATGAACAGCACCTGTTGAAAAGACAGATTTATCTTCACTTCCCTCACTTTGCCAGTCAGCTGCTTTTGGTTGGAAATGTGCCCTGCAAAGAGTTTACCCTGATTGGTCGATAGAGACCCTTTATTTGCGCAAGAGAATCCATCACAAAAGCAGTAACCACAATGAAAACCGGAGAGACTGTAAAGTGTGACACAATGCACACATTAGCAAACACTGTGAAAAAAGATTTTAAGATTGTCTCCAGAAAAAATTGATTTAAACAACACATTTTCAGGAGCCTGTAACAGTTTTCAACAAAAGAGTAAGAGAGACGAACTAAAAAACTGATGGCTGATGCTGTGCTTGTAATTTTATGTGTTAGAGACTTTTAACAGCACAAATCAACTCACATGTTGTAGTTTCTGTTAACTCACTTCTTTATGGTGAGATTGTGTTCAAATAAAGCACAGATTAAACTCTAGTAAAGCCTCAGACAGAGCAGAGCCTACAATTAGCATCACACCCCAAGGGAATGTTGATGACATCAGCAGCAAAGTAAAAATTTTTATGTCATCTGAAACCCAGCAATGTAGGATCATATTCATATTAATAATATTTAGTGAAAAAGTCCAAATGTCTGTTTGTGCCTTTACTTTTCCCAGTTCTTTTCTAATGGGACTACCAATTAATTCTACATCATCTGCCACTTTTGCAAAAGAAAGTTATTTAAGAGTGTATATTTTCTCACTAGACTAGTATTGCCTTTAATTAGAAGTACTCAGTTGGTGCAAAGGTTACACTGCTACTTTGCAATGCTAATTCAGTGTTACACTTAAAATCCCTGTGGCCACTGAGAATCCATCAAATACTCTTGGTGCTCCCATGAACTTATTACATCCTCCAACTGTGTATTTCTTGTCAAAAAGTGTATACTCACTTACTTGATATTGAAAGTAGTATTGGATTTAGTTTCTCATATGAATAAGTATTGATACTGACGAATAGCACATGTAGTTTAAAACCACATGGAAATATTAAAGAAACTGCTTTTACTTAGTGAATTAAATCACACTCTACTACTCTCAAAAATCACTATTGAGGAACAAACATTCTAATCAAAATCAAGTTTTGTATCTTGACACAACTCTCTCTTATGACTTCTGTAACAAAAACTGAAGTTCACTGAGCCACAACACTGCCCATAGCTTTGGAAAATCATACAAGTGAAATATTTCTGTCTAAAGTTTGAACCAAAACAATAGGGATGTAACAATAATGGAAATATAGTGATATTGTGATATCAAAGTTCTCAGAATAATATCATGGACCATCACAATATATTGAATTACAAGTCGCTTTGCTTAAATTAAGAGTTATGGTGCAGCAACAGCTAAAAAAAGACAGAGGGAACTACATAGACCATGATCCGTTGCTCCATTTCATTGCAGACTGAAGAAATAACAGTTCTAAGCACTTTTAAGTCTTAGTTCTTTGGATTAAGTCTTGTCAAAGCATTTTTAAGAGGAAAAAGTAGCATGATATTAACAGTTTAGTCAGCTATAAAATATCGCAATATATATTGTACTGTGAGGGTCATACCGTGACGTTACACCCCTACAAAACAATATATTTAAAGATACAGATATCAGTAATGTATTATTACTTGATTACTACTTGACATAAGTACTATATCAGCTTATTGTTCACAATATATGAAAGATGGGACAAGATATTTTGAGACTCAGTATGTATCATGGGTAATTTTCTTGTCATTGTACTCTAAGATTTGAGCCTTAGAGTGCTGTAGAGGACTTTTAATGGTACTGTCTATTTTAAAATAATTTTATTGGGATTATATTACTTTATTTTAATTGTATCAGTGGCATAAAATAGTTTCAGTATTATTGTTTATCGATGTTTGTCTCTTTAGCAATATATCATGCTTCAAAAAAACAAAACAAAAAACAAAATGATTCTTGCCCCTGTGCTTACCCAGTATTTGCACCAATGGCCTTGAAAGATGGGCAACTAGCAATTTTACTTGGATATTTGTTGATTATTTTGTATTTCAATGATTGTACAAAATCCTACATCATTACCAGCTACTACTAAAATTGTTGCACAGTGCATGAAATCCAATTAAAACAGTATACAACTATTGCGTCTGTCTTGCATGTCCCTAACCCTCCAGTATCTCTGAACCTTTTTATTCCCCAGCTGTCACCACTCATTTAACTAATGCTTATCTCGCTTCATAAAGCTCTGATGAAGATCTGATAACGCAACAGTACGGGGCCTGCTTGCAGGATGATGCCTACGTACCATGGCCAGGGACAAGTCATGTGACATCAACAGTGGATAATTAAGCAAGGTTCCTATCAACGAGGGAAATGATGTCTATCCGGTGTCCTTCCCAAGCGTACATTTTATGTCTCAGAGATTGTAGTGAAAGTGACCTTGGCAACCCCTTCCTCCGTGCTGCCTTCTATCTGCATGAATGAAAGAGGAACGTAAGAGCTCGGAAGGATCTAGTATCTCTGCTAAGCTATAGGGAATATAGTGGCCCCATTCCGTCCTATTTAGTGGTTATCTGTGTGTCGACTTTGGTTTACAGCAATAGAAAGCCTGTCCTTGGACTTAAGATGAAGTCTATGTTTCAGCTGTTGTTCAGTTATAATGCACGCAGGGATCACTAATTGATTTTATTGGATTAGCAGCAGTAGACTGACCTCTATAGACAGATACAATTAAATGGGAGGTGTATTTGTGAGTGAATGTAAACAGCAATACACAATTTTGTTTAAATGTATGCCTGAAGTTTCCCTGTCATTATGTCCATATATCTTAAAACATTACATTACATGAATACAAACCAAAAGCTATTCCCAAAGTCAACATTAGAAAGTTTAAACAATTTCATTCATATCCGTTATTACAGAGAATGTTCGACTGAGCTTCCCATTTTTCTGTGTTGCTTTTTCTAATTTACTGCTCTGAAAGCCAGAAATTACAAAAGCTGAAAATTTCAAAGCCATGCCAAAGAAAATATGTGAAATTGCGTGAACAGAAAAGTATTCGGAAAAAGTATTCTTAATCTTCACAACATTTTGACAGCACTCTCTTTAGGATCTGACTGGGATTTAAAGGGTGCTGTTTATCCAGGGCTCTGTGCACCCACAAATTTGATGCTACACCCCTGATTGGGAGATCATTAATTATTGTAATGTTGCATTGTACCAAACCAAACTTCCCTGCACAGCTAAGCGCTAATATACAGTTTATATAAGGTTATGAAATGATGTCAACTACATTTTGTTTGAGCAAAAACTGCATTTTTTTGTATCCCAAGTTTAGCTAGAAGTACTTAGTAACTTTTAGGGATAGGCCGATTTTTGCTTTTATTGGAGTCAATGTCGATATCCGATATTTGGCTTATTGCTGTGACCAGTACCAATACTGGAACCGATTTATCACTCATTCCTAGTAATTTTGATTTAAGAACATCTCAAGATAAAAACCTTGGTATTAAAGGAAAATTAGTGGCACCAATATTTTTTCGTCCTGGCCATGTATTGCCCTTCAGATCCCTTATATTAAATTATAGCAGTGAAGCAGTCAAATTCTAATTCCGATATGCTGCTGGTTTGACGGTACATCCCTTCTCGTCACTCTCGTGCCCTATCTCCATGCCCTTGCCCACTTTATGTTGACCTCCACTTTGCTAAACGTTCTCGGGCTCCTCGTGTCAGGATGAAAAACTGATCGATTCCCTTTTCTTTACAGAGCTGTGTCCACAAGATAAATGGGTCTGAAGCTAAGCTGGGCTGGACACAATTAAACCCAAGCTCTCAGTGGTAAACCAGCGCCACGTATTTGGACTCGTGTGTGCCTTTCTACTCTGATGAACCCAGAAGAGCCGCCCAATAATTACAAGATTAGGTGAGTACATTTACAGATTTTTTTCAAGTTGGAAAGCGGACTTCTTACTTGCATGCTGGGGAGTGAATTATAAGGACAAAAGACCGGACGTGGAGATGTGATAAGAATAAAAAATGTGTGAGTAGAGCAGCAGGAGGCACAGAAGGAGGCAGAGGAGATAATTTGGTTGCGGCCGCTGAGAATCTTGGAGGAGACACAGGGAACATTGGGTCATGAGACTGCATGTTAGTTATACCATTTCCTTCTCTCTGATTTTTATCACTCCTACACAATTACCCTATTCTTGTGTGATTATATCTACATAAATGGAGATGAATTTGCATGTTAAATAGTAATGAGTAACATTTTTTTGGCTAATAAGGCTGCAAGATTAATCGAATCAAAATAGCAATTTGATTCGTCTTAATTTAAGGGCCTGTATTATACTTATATACTGTATTTTCTGATCTATATTATAATTTTGTTTCCTCATCACAAACATACCCGGAGTTGTGTTTTGTTTCATTCACATGTTGAATGTTTCATATTTAGGAGTTTTCCTATCTAAGTGAAAACACTCTGTTCCAACTTATGATGTCATGTGGTAATACAGGAAGTGCTCCATTATGTTCTTAACCTCCATACACCTTTACTAGAATCACCTGGATGATTTCAGCCCTGGAATTGCCAATCTCTATTGATCTAAAGGTAGCTGTTAACTTGGAAACTATGGCTACGGCTTCATGACATCACAAGGTGGTGTATTAATGTATTAATTGTATACTTTGTTTATGGTTTGTAGTTGTCTATTGTTGTAAGGTGACCTTGAGTATCCAGAAAAGCCTAATTAATAAAATGTATTATTATTACTTATTAATAGTAAGACTAATAATACCGAATTACTCAAACATGTGTGAATGAAACAAAAAATAACTGTAGGTCTGTTTTTGAGGAGGTAAACAACATTCTAACATGGCTTAAAGCTCACAAGAGTCATTTTTGTGTAAATATCGGATCTTTAACAAATCGTAAACTCTGGAATTTTTTTAGTGCCAAAATTTCTTCCACAGACAACCAAATACCCTGACATATTCTGCATAAAAACTGCTAACCCTGTAGTTTAGATCTGTACTGATACAGACATGTCCTGAAATTTGATTCTTGTATTAATTAGTCAGTTCATATACCAGTTTTTTTTTTTGTCAGATCTTCTTTTACTTTGAAAAGAATCCTATTATTAAAAGATAAACCCCAAATCTAAATCACAGTTAGATATTTTTACCAAATTGTTCAGCCCTAGTGATTAAAGTTTCTATTCCATATACTTTATTATTATGTATTTTTGAAGTAGGTAATTAAATGACTTGTGTGTAGGCTTGTGTGTACTTATATAATTATATCTATATTACACTTCAATTCAACATATAATAATACATATGAAGGGAAAGAGGGAGGTTTGGTGTCTTATGTAATGATGCTGACAGATCTGTTTGTAATGGTAAACAGCAGAACGATGATTGGCTGAGACAGTAGATATATGATAGCAGACAGTGGCCAGGGGAGTTATCTTTGTGACTGAATTTAAAAACTGTTGCTTAAGTGAAACTGAAAACCCATCCTTACAAACACATATCCAGCAGAATAGTGTGAGGGCTCAGATTTTGCTATATTCTGATCTAGGTTATAATGTGGTTTCCTTATTAAAAACATATTTGGAGCTGTATTTTGTTTCATTCACACATGTTTAATGCACAAATCCTGCATATTTTGCCTGCGTTCTTCTCTCAAACAGAAAACACTCTGTTCCACCTTGTGATGTCATGTACAGGAAGTGTTCCACTGTGTTTTTAAACTTCATACACCTCACTAGAGGTCTTCCTCAGAGTGGTCACGTGATGTTGTTGTGACGTGTCCGGTCAGCTAATTTAAACAGGTTTTGGCGCTGTCTTCCTACTGGTGGAGATAGGATGACAGTGCCATCTGCAGTCCAACTTCCTCAGGACAGTATCCCAGGTGTGTGAGAGTGAAAATGCCCCCTCGTCCCGGTTTATAGTCCCGTAGGCATGTTTCCGTATTTTGATTACCTCTTTAATTCAACAACAGTGTTTGTTTTCCTCTGTCCCAGTGATGTTTGCTCCATCCCAGTCCATAATGTGGTTCTCTCTTTTACAGTGATCAGAGATGACCGATTTGAGTTGTTCCTGTTCTGCTTTGTGTTTTGTTGCTGTTTCCTTCTCACATTCTGTTCTATGTTCTTTTTTTCATGTACTGAACGCCCTCCTTGTTTCCCTGATGTATGTTTTATTGCAGGACATCCAGGGTATTTCGTATACTGTCAAGTATTTTGTGTATACTGTCAAGTACGTAAACAGACTCTCCATCTGAAAAAAGAACCTAATAACATAAATTATCAGAAGACCAAATGAACCTCATTGGACCTCACTAGAGTCATGTGGAATCTCCGGAATTGCTAATCTTTTTTTAAACTTAGTAGTTTTTAACTTGACATCTATAACCACATGGCAAGGTGGAGCATTTTGAGCTTTGGAGATGTAGACAGACTAATACTAAAGGCTTATCAAACATGTAAGAAAATACTACTGCAGGTATGTTTTTGAGGAAGTAACAACATCCTAACATGGCTTAAAGCACCTAAGAGTCAATTTTAACCTTTAAGTGAAATGGAAAGCCCATCCATACAAAAACATACCCAACCAATATAGTTTAAAGCCATGTCTGGATTTTAATCTGTTTATCAAAGCATTTCTTAAATTAGAACTTGGAAACTTGGGTATTTCTTTTATTTTCTTCTCTTTTTCCTCCTCTTTTGTACAGCACTCTTTTCATTTTGGATGGAAGCACTACCCCAAACACTCATATATTGGGTGACTCACAAAGTGTCTTCTGTCCATTGCTAATTTGTTTGGCTAATGGCAATGCTTCATCTTCTAGCAAGCCTTGAGACCTCTGTGTGCGGTTTGACAAAGATCAAACTTGCAGTTAAGTGCCAGTTTCAGACAAGAGAAAGGAGAGAGAAATGCAGGATATTTTGGTCTCTCATCAACAGCTCATAACTCTCTGCTTAAATGCACCCCAAAACCTGATTATTATCTGATTTCTGGACTTTTCAGATGATTTAAATGATTTGCAAACCACATAATTTGATGTGAGTAATCTGACGGACCATGATTAGAACTATTTTTGGAGTCATATTCTCATAACAGATTTTGAGTGTGCATGTAACCACAGCCAATGACTCAGACATTATAAACTGGGCTAATTAGGCTCATTTAGTTAAAGGTCCTATATTATGCCAAATCGACTCTTGTGAGCTTTAAGTCATGTTATAATCTTGTATCCTCATCAAAAATATACCTGGAGTTGTGTTTTGTTTCATTCACACATGTCTGAGTAACCCTTTGTTATTAGTCTGTCTATATCTCCAAAGCTTTGTTCCAACTTGTGATATCATGTAGAGGTAGTTTTCAAGTTAACAGCTACCTTTTACCTTTTGTTCAGTAGAGATTTACAATTCTAGGGCTGAAATTATTTAAAGTATTCTAGTGAAGGCGTATTGAGTTTAAAAACACAGTGGAGCGCTTCCTGTATTATCACATAACATCACAATTTAGAACAGATATTTTTCTGTTGAGAATTCAGCCTAATTATGCAGGATTTGTGTGTTAAACATGTGTGAATGAAACAAAACACAACTCCAGGTATGTTTTTGATACAGGATACAACATTATAACATGATTTAAAGCTCACAAGAGTCGATTTGGCATAGTTTAACATTATAACACAGATCAGAAAATAGCATAATACGGGCCTTTTAGAAAAGCTCTGTTCTGCTTTGAAATATCAAAAATATCAATTCAAATGTACCTTGGTCTATTCCAATGTCACTCTTTTTACAAAACTCCTCAAAGACCCCAGCTGTGATGTTGTTTCTTGCTCATTCAAACTATTTCTAGTCTTTCTTCAGAATACAAGTGCTTTATTGTGAAACAGCCCCATGTGCCAGAGTGAAGTGTTTGTAGACACTGCCTCAGACTGTGCACTTCACTCACTCAACTCATTCATCACAAGTATTTTTAGCTCCACTTTTGATACTAGTCTCATTCATGTTTTTTTTTTTTTTGATTTGCCATTTAGTTCACCAGCTCCACACCTGTGTCTGTGGTGCGACCTACTTTGGGCCCGTGGCGCTGCACAGGTGTCTCATTCATCATGCTGGATTGAGCCAGCTCCTTGTGCTAAAGCTGCTCACACGCTTTTATTTCCCAGACCATTAATTTCACTCAAGAGCAAATTAAGATGTACTTCAGTTTTGTATAAACCTCCCCACCTCTGCCTCTTTTTAACAGTGTAATGCTAATAATTATGTATTGGTTCTCCTGGAATGGTATGACATTAATGTTATCAACGGAGAAAAGCAGGTGGCAGTACTAAGCTTTAAGTTACAGGTCAGAACTGTGGAGAGGCAAGAATATTTACACTTGAGCAGCTATCAGTCATTACCTCCTGTATTTTAATAATAAACTTATGCTACACTACTCTATACTATATTAGGGCTAGTATTATGGTTATGTGATATGACATAAAGAATTAAGTATTTTATCAGTAGAGAAGAGCAGTTGGAGACACTGGGCTAGTTACAGGTCAGATCTGTGGAGAAGCAAGCCTATTTACACTTGAGCAGCTATCAGTCATTACCTCCTGTGTTTTAATAATAAACTTATATTAGGGCTACTATACTGTACTATACTATACTATACTGTGCTGTGCTATGCTATGCTATACTATGGCTAGTATTATGGCTAGTTTTATGGCTATGTGATATGACATAAAGAATTAAGAATTTTATCAATACAGAAGAGCAGTTTGAGACATTAGGCTAGTTAAAGGTCAGATCCGTGGAGAGGCGAACCCTTGCTTTTTATTCAAGGTATTTTTAGCTATAGCAAACACCTTCTATCATTTAAGATAGATAATGTTATATTTTGGTACATTCAAAGCAA